GTGCGATAGCGTGCATTTAGTCGTAAAAATGAAACGAGCTCTGTGCACTCAGTTATCGAACTTGATGCTGCCACATCATTGACGACGCCTACGTGCAATTTCACGGAAATCTCAGCTTCTTTAAAGCTTACAGTAAAAAGACGTTAATATGAAATCCGCAACGTCTCGCCATTTGCAGATATTGGTTCTTCGTCATTTACTTTGATTCTTAGCGAAGATTGCTTGCTTGAATGCTCTCAGTTCAAGTCTTTCACGTTGTATATGCCCTCTTCATCCCTTAGAATTGTATGTATATAAATATGTAAAGTAACATATATGAAAAGCAACTGTGCCTAACGAGAAAATATGGACGGAAGCCCGCGAAACGTTCCACCGCATACGCTCATATTCATTTGTAGCTTCGATTCAACATATCAGCGACCAGCAGAATTTCGTGGCACAAGTCGTTCCTTTTTGGTTTGGGTGTGTGTAGCGAATGCCTCCAGAAAGGAAGGCGAAACAACTGTTTCTTTCCCAGCCGTCCGGCAGAAGGCTTAGGAAACTGCCAAGATCAACCCGTTGCAAATACATGGAACGAGCCGGTTATTTTGTACCGAAGCTTACACTCTAGTACGGGATCGGGAACGTTGGAAGCACTGTCTGACGCGTCTGCCTCTGCATCTCCAAAGTGGAAGCGGTGATGGATGATGATGATGATGAATATGATGATGATGATGATTATTATGATTATGATTATGATTATGATGATTATGAAGCATTTTATCACTGTGTATGGAACTAGGGAAATTGGATGTTCAGAATGTACGTGAAATGCGTGGAGGTTTCGGAGCACAGTACACATCATAATACAGTAAAGTTCTCCTTGTCTGACAATAGGCGCGAAAATCGTATACTCTAATAATTCAGTCATGCAAACCGTGAAACCGTTCCTGCTTCACTCAAAATTTCAAACTGTCTTCACCGGCTGAAATCATGACGGAAGGACATGACACATGCCTTGTAAGATTGATGCAGACAATTCTCTGAAATAAGCCATAAATTTTAGAACAACCTTCAATCTCCATAATATTACCTATGGCTTTCTGTGGATATAGTTTTCTGTGCATCTTTACCATCTGCCCTACCACAATCCGATGAACTGCATCTGCTTCAGAACCTCGTTCAAATGAGGCTTGTCGTCCAAACGAGTGAACTAATACACTGAGCAAGGCCCTTCCTGCAGGTGGATCAGAACCGTGACTTGCAGAATCGGTGTGAATCTTGCTTTGGATTAGAGTATGGTCTCACGCTCGTCAATCCTTCCATAATTTACTGTAAATACAAATTGGGATTAAATACGTATTTCAGAAACATAACCCGATTCTCTGGACTAGACGTCATGAGTAACGCCATTGATACCGCTATCGATGCATAATTTTTGAAACATACCGATATTGGATTGAAGTAGCGAAAGAGTACAGTGTTAAGAAAAAGTTCATTTCCTACCTCGGTATTGTGCAACACATGAAAATCTTGCATTAGGTAACTAAGAGACCTATTTTTGCAGTCCTATGCAATACAGACGCTCAAATACAAGGCAGCCGTGGCTCGCTTAAGTGGCTCACCTAGGCTGTAGAGCCTAGCGGCGGTACAGTAATGCGGTCCTGCTTAGTGTAAGACTTTCATATGTCTTACAGCATCACAGTATCGGTGTAAAGCAAGAAATTAATTTTTCTTTCTTTACACTGAACGCTTTTGTCGTTTCAATAC